TGTTAAAATTTTTTAGACGACCTCTTCATGGCATCTCTCGAAGAAGCATTAAGCGCAGTTAAAGTGATATAAAATGAAACTAAAACCGAAACAGATACACAATATTGTCTTACTAGCATAATAAGATAAACAACATAAAAAAATTGTTATGTTACTCAGATCATTGACTTATTGATCTTACAAGATATTTTCTCCGTCCTTAATGCATGCCTTTGTGGTGTAATCGGAAGCATTCTCGACGTGTATTCGAGGGGTTCGGGTCCCGCCGAGGGCAATGCACATTTTTCACGTTTCCAGTATCAAAAAATCCTAATGTCTCTAGACTTCTTTTATTTATAAAAGGGTGTGTGGATACATACATTGAATAATAATAATAGTTATTATTATTCAGTATATGTATTAAGGATTATTTTCAGACCGCACTCAGCTTGGAATAAGTTTAATGAATTTTTGCTGGTCAATTCCGAATAAAATTATCAAGGATGAATTTGAAATGGCTGAATCGAACTAAGGTTCTATTTATATTAATTTTACCAAATTAAGATTTTCTTTACCTTTATTTTACTGAATAGTGCTTCTAATCGTAAAGAAATTCAAAATTGAATAGGAATATTTCTGCATTATGTTCAGGTCAAAGACTTGTAATTTTAATGAATTCGGTTTTATACACCTTAAATTTGTTAAACAAATTCGGAAAATAAAAATATATGCAAAATGCAAATATATGCAAAAGTTTCTCAAATGCACGTTATTTCTGCATTATTATTAACATTTAGTTAGTTATTATTAACATTAAAATCTTTATTATTAACATTTAGTAAACATTAGTAATTAAAGGTAACGGAACGATCCTTAAACAACACAAAAAAAAAAAAAAAAAAAAAAAAACCTGAGGAATCACGAGAGATTTTCCCTCCTCATTTTAAGCAACACAAGCAGCTATCCCCGCTTTGTTTCCTAAGTTTTCAACATGAGAAAGAATGTTGCAATTTCCTTCCGGGGGAAAAAAAATTGGCAGCATAAAATAAGGGCGCTATGCTAGGTACACGTGTCAAGTAATGATGTCCCTCGAGACATTCATCCCAACCGAAACGCAACAAGCAATCCCTCTCCCCCTTTCGGGTGGAGGATTCAGAGCCAATTTTTAAGGTAACAGGGAGGAAACCATGGGGAGCGTCAAGCTCAATGAATCGCGAGGAATGACTTGCCCATTTTGCTCAAGGGAGCTTCCAAATTCTATTAAGGATTATTTTATTAGAGAAAATAATCTGAAAACAATAACTCAGGAAAGGTAACAGAGGAACGCTGCTTGTCGGAACTGAAATAGATACTCTAAATTTTGCGCATATTTTTATATAATTTTACACTGCATAATAGGTTAATAAAGATTTTCGGTCAACTACTAAAATATTTGAGTGCGTATGATGGAGAACTCTAAAGTGGTATTCAATATATCAAACGAAAGCCGAAAATGAGAGAAATACATCATTTTTTCGGTTTCACATAAAAGTGAAAAGCGAATCTCGAATGATTGAAATAAGATTACTTTTTGTTAAAGCAAGAAACTAACATTTTTTTTTTTTTTCTTATTTAATGCACTCGTTAATTTAATCTTGTTATCTGTAAATTACACATAGATTTATTAATAAAACTAATAAAAGAATAAATTTTATTTTATATAAATTGAATGTTTAGTTTTAAATTACTCAACGTAGAAATTTTCTAGAATTCCTTATAAGAAATAATTTTGCTTCCCACCTCTGCATGGATTCAAGTTCTATCCAAAAGTTACCTAGCGCTCATAGCTAGTAAGAAGTTAGACGTAAGAAAGATGTTTTCACTCAAAGTGTGAAACAGAAAAAGAAAATATTATTACGTAGTTATTTAATTCATAGTAAAATTCTAACGCAAGTTTGGGATTTTTAGTCTGACTTTTCATGCTCGACTTGAATTCCATCCTGCTACATTCGGAAATTGATTTTCGTGGTTTATTTTATTACACGGTCTGTAGGGAGACCATTAGATATTTTACTTCGAAGCAGGAGACATGAAAAACTTTCATTGCCCTCACCAGGACTCGAACTCTAGTCCTTCCTATTGCTAGCCGGATGGGCTTTCCAAATACAGGACGAAGGCACGTGAAAAGAAGGGAGATAATCCCTTTACATGTTCACCCTCCAGCTGCCTCTTCACAATTTAAACGAAGAAAGTGAAGACATTTTCATGTAAATTCAGAAAATATCATCTTCTTACCCTTCTTCCAGTAGCTGTCAAGAAACAAATTATGTTATCATTTTTAAGAGTTTTACTCAAAGTAGCAGATGGCAAATTAGGATTAGAAACTGTATCCTTATTTACTTCTACTAGAGAATCTTTTTACTTGCAAATTTATACTTCTTGACATCAAAACTCATGAATAAATGCTTGGCATAACTGGAAAGCTGTGGTGGTTGGCGGACAAATGGCTCTTCTCTTTCACCAAGCATCTCTATTTACTCTCAGAATGTATAGTTAGGTGTTAAAAGCTACAGCACGAAGACTAAATGGCTTAAAGTTTATAATGCGTGACCTTATGACATATTCATAACTGGACTTTCGAGACCTTTTTTTCCTGTTGAAATTGTCCCTGTATGTTGCTATGCAACGCGACTAAGGACTCAGGTGCTTTTACTTCCGACATTATATTTCTGGTATAGTCATTTGTAATCTCATGGTAAGAGGCCATCTAACTTGACCTCAATACGTGGTTCACTTTAGCTGTTTTATTGAAGTAATCGGAATCGTGTGTACAATCTTTTGCGTTCTCAAAATTTAGTTACTTAACAAAATACTAATGGAAAGAATGCGAAAATTAAGAAAAACCTTTTAATCAATAAAAGTGCATTTTTTATACATAACTTTTTACTATTTCGCAGGAATACAGTGTATTTCTTCAACGTCCTTTATATCGATGCTAGAAAACTGCATACTACATTAAACACTGAGCTCACAATTAATTCTTCATAAATGGCTCACATATATATATCGTGGTGGTTAAATTTCAATTATTTTGTGTGCTCGCCTACATACCGAGAATAATAGAGTTTTAAGTCTTTTTATCGAGAAATATATTTCAGCCTCAGAATTCACTGTACGCTAAAAATCTATTCTTGTTGAAAACGCTAAATCTAAATTTGAATATTTCAAGTGTCAAAATAAAAATATATACTTTGTATCTAATGTTTAAAAGTTCAGTAAATTTGTTTCTCAGTCTCATTTCTAGAAAGGCTGGTAGTTCGGTCCGAGGTTCGAATCCCGCGGACGGGCTGGCTGCATGGTGTTTTCGTGGTTTTCCCCATGTGTAACGTGTATACGAGCCAGTTTCCCTGAGAAAGTCCTCCACGAAGGCATCCCTCCCTATAGGCAGATAGCCCTAGTGTGCTTTGCCATAATTAAATACACACACATTTCTAGAAAGGCCATTTCGATAGTAAATAAACATAGAAGAATATATAACATTTAAGTGATCTTTCGACTTTATGATCGAGATGTCTGATATGAGCAAGGAAGAATAAAATGTTGCGGATATTAATAAGCAAAGCATTAAAATGGTATCAGGGTAAAGGAACAATCAAACGTTCTGAAACTGCAGAATGCTACAAATTTAATGACGAAAAGTAGAAGTTTAAATTTCTTAGTGAAAAGACATATATAAAAATCAGGGGGGGGGAATGAATCACAGCGGTTAGGACACACGTTTTTCCTCTCCTTAGCGAAATCTGGATTTTTCTTTCGTCTTTGATACAGTCAGAATACATCTCACTTTTTCTGTTTTAATTGCACATTTGTAACAGACGTGCATTTTAATGAAGATATTCGGCAAATCTTTTTGGTGTGAATATTATTTATGAAATCACAAAACTGTCCCGTATTTGCTACCACACGCATAATAAAAATATTTAAGGTAAGGAAATTAACATCGGTTATTACATCAACTTAATAGCAAGAGAAATGAAAATACATAATTTTCAAATTGCACAAATTTACGTAAGGATAAAAATCACAAGTATTCCTAATGTATTTTGTGGTTAGTACAGATATGTACATACCTATAAAAATGTAACTTTTTCCCAATATTAGTACTGCTTTTTATCAGTGTTGAAAGTAAAATATAAAAAAATACTTTAATGTACTTCCACAAAACCTTCACAGGAAAAACAGAATGATTTATTATTTTGCTCGACATTTCTTCACTACGAAAAACATGCACATCACGTATTTACGAAAATATCAATGAATTGTTTTTGAATGTAAAAAGGTTTCATTTAGCCCAAAAAGAAAACATTTATTATCATTATAAAAGGATTCAGGAAGGGACATCGATAACTTCCGAAAGTGAAAAGCTTAATTTAAAAAATATCTAGAAAGCCTTAGAGCGGCATACATTTTATGAGATATCCTTAAAATGTAAATTGAGAGCTTTTTAAATAAATTAAAGAATTAAAAAAGAAAGCTATCCTAATTCTTACCTTTAAATAGCTTATTTATATGATAGATGTACTACACATGCGTAAATATAATTGTGTCTTCCTTTTTTATACAAACTTACATAATAAGATACTTACATATTGCACTTCCAGAGACATGTTTATATATATATGAAGTCCACATGAACAAATATAATCTAAAATTGCATAATAGCAATACAGTCCATCCACGCAATCAAAGATATTTATGTATTTGTATGTAATAAATATAATTGCTGTATATTTTCATCAGTAGAGTCGTAGAAATGGTGTTTCCTCATAAGAGAGGGCCCATTCTGTATTCGTATCTATCACATGACATCCCCTCCCCCCCTAAAAATTAGCGCAGAAAATAGCTTTTCACAACCATTTATTACCCCCAAGACATGACTTACCTTAATACTTATAAGGTGCTTTCTGGTTAGCTGCTGCTTAGAGTTAAAAACAAAAATAAACAAGATAAAGGTCTTGGGAAGCTATGCAAAGTACACATACCTTAATCCTCTATTTTGTGCATGAAGAATTGCTCTGAAGTCTTGCATCACCAGAACCTGTTCGCTTAGAGGAGGAATGGATTCTAGTATCTACCGTCGTGATGCGGATGCAGAGGACATCTGCTTGTCTGACTACTTGAGTTACAAATCGTAGCTGAGAAACGAAAGGCATGATGAAAGACAAGGGCGCCATCTGTTGGAGTGCTTAAGCCATTAATAGAAGTGAAGGGTTGCAAGGTATTCGACTAGTTACTGTTCAAACAAACATTCCTCAGAATTACAATGAAGCAGCTCACTATGGCTGAAAAATTAATATAAATTAAGTAAAATAAAAATACAATCAATACGCTGAACTCTGACGGGAAAAATTGCATTTTGGTCGTAGAGTAGTTAAAAAACCAGTATTACTAATTTTATTTAATTTTTATTTATTTAATTATTTCCAGTTTTAAATCGATATCATAAAATGCACTGAAGCAGAATTTTTGCATACGCATTTGACATGATCTTATTATGAAATCAGAAATTGTATAAAAGTATCCTATAAGGTCCTTCTGATGCGAGTAGACGCACATGCAATAAGAAATATAGTGGGCAAGAATCTGTAGACCTCAATGTGTTTTAAATGGGTGGTATATTCCATGATTTTCTGTATAGATAATATAAATGTATTTCATTTTCTCTCAGAAAATTTTCCATGAACACACCAAGGCAAGTATAACCCAGCTTTACTGTAATCATTTATCAACCAAGCGTTAGGTACGAATTATTTTAGCTATTTGCAGCTCCCTTCTCCCTTGTGCTTTTGTGTATTTAGGTAAAAGCTCAGACAGATACAAAGAGAGTTGCAATTATTTTACGATTATGACTTTGTTGATATAAAGCTTCTTTTATTTGTTCATTTGAATACGACAAAGCTCACAAGTACTATCTGCTTACAAAAAAAAAAAAAAAAAAAAAAAAAAAAAAAAAAAATGTGTTCATGGAGGACTTTCAAAGGGAAACTGACTTGTAATTATGTTTCGCAGGGAAAACCAGCCAGGCGTTGATTGGGAATCGAACAAGAATCAAAATAGCAGCAGCCAGCCATCTTAACCTTTAAAGTCTCTGCTAGGGCTTTAAGGTACCATTTTTAAAAATCAATTGTATCGACTTTTCGATGTTAAATTACTAATTGCTTGTAAAGTATGACTTTTAATAACTGATAATTACCACCATATAGGCATATTTTGTTGTAAAAATTTTCTGTAATTCTATATAAATATACAGATGAGTATATGATTTTAGTTGAATAATTTCTAGATAATTTTCTGATTTTTCAATTATTTATTATATTTCTTACGTAAGAGAAATAAGTTTGAAATTAATGCAGCGTAAATCGATATGCCGGAATTACAATTACTGTGAAATTATATTTCGTGAATAAAAGTTTCCGGAAAGCATTTTCTAATTCCTATTTATGCAAGGAACTGCTTTACTTTAATATTTTTTTTAAAACAAAATTGAACATTTTGTGAAACTGTTTTTCGTCAGTGACTTTTGTCTTACTGAATAAGTAAGTAATTTAATAACACTTATTTAAAACAGGTGGTTTTAGGCTATCATACTGGAGTTTGCCTATATGAACGCATTTAGTTTCCTACCTTCTTATATTATTTATACTTTTTGCACGGGTATTAATTAGAACTGAGATAGCGCACTCATATTTAAATTTATTACTTGTTTGCTCTTTACGTGTCTCAAACTGGATTTTTGACAAAATTCAGTCTCACAATACTTACTTTTCCTATAATGTCTGTAATATAAGAATATTATTTCTGCCATAAAGGGTGATGCCTTTCTGTTATAAAAGAGTTAAACATAATAACAGTCGAATAATAAGAGAAATAAGAGCAAAATAAGCGAAAAAAAGGCGGATAAAAAAATAAAGAAAAAAATCAAACCAGTGTTAAGCTATTAATTGGATATATATATATATTAATTAATCGCAACAAATTGCCTAATACTTACGCAAAAGCTGCAAAGTAATAAAATAATAATTTATATTCTAAAATATCATTTAGTATATTATTTCCTTTGACAAAAGAAGTTAGAATTCTATTGAAATTAAGTAACTCACTAATGAATTACTTAATTTCAATCGAATTCTAACTACTTTTTCAAAGGAGATAATATACTAAATAATCTATCAGAATATAAACCTAACTATTATATAAAACCTAGACTATTGTGCACATTTCGCGCTTAAATTCAGATAAAGCGAGCACAATAAAAATATTATCTGTAAAAAGACTTCTCACTAAAATGAGCAATATAAAGTGTGACCGTTTTTCTTTGATTACGGCATCGCACATAATGGTATTCGTCAAAAGGAGGGATGCTTTGTGGAGGACTTTCAAGGTAATTTGACCCGTATTCACGTTACACATGAGAAAACGCACATGCAACCAGCGTGTTCACCACAATTCCAAGCTCCAAACCAAAACTCTCAGTATTCAGTAACATTTATTGCTCAGCTGTTGATGGGCACTTGGGACTGTTTACCAATAGCTTTTGATATGTCATAATCCGAATTTGTTTCAGAGTTGAAGCTTCACATAAATACAAAGTTTCCATCTTTAACAGTACGGTAGCTACAGTTGGCCTGCATACAAGGAAGCTTCTTTCATGCATTTTGATAACCGACCCTCATCGTCAAGAAAGACTACATTAATGTAACGGACATGCTCACTGGAGTCTTCAACATTGGTTTAAATAGATGCTCTTAAACAAATCCTGATTTATCACTGAGAGTGTGATTCTGAACACCAACTATTGTAGAAAGGGAAGAGAACAAGTGACCAACAACATCATATCTAGGAAGCTGATCATTATGATTGAAGACTCACTGTAAAGACGGAAACGGAAAACATCATTTCGTACCTTTCACATAAACCATTACATTTCAGTGGCATTGTGCCGAAATTCTCCTGGCCCATGCCGTAGTTTTGATGGTGCACTACGACTGGACTTTTTGTTCATGGACGACAGAACATGCCCTTACAAAAGAGATGAAATGAACAAAATACTGAAGAGGCAAGATATTGAACACACGAAATCGTTTATAGAGTCATTAGGTTTTTTTGAAGCATAAGAGGTAAAACATGTGCAATGCCGTCGCCGGGACTCCAACCCTAGAACTTTCGAATACTCGTCAAGTAAGTTTTCAATTACACCATGAAGGCAAGCGCAAAGGAGAGAGAAAATACCTTATATACCCCCCCTTTTAAAGGACGACTGGGGATTAGAGGACTCAGTTGTCGAATCCTTGTGATGACGAATTATAGTCCACCACCTTTTAGTTCGGCGCCACTTGTAGAGTCACTAGTTTTTTTAAGCAGGAGACGTGAAAAATTTGCAGTATCCTCACCAGATCTCGAACCCCGAACCTCTCAAATACACGTCGAGTATGCTTCCTTCGCTGGTGTATTAATTTAAACTGATGCAAGCACCTAGGTTATGAAAGCCTCATCATGGGTAGAACACGTTGATGAAAAACATATCGTTCCTTGATAGCATATATAAATTCCGAGGTGGGAATGTACCAGTTTATCAAAGTTCATAAGGTGGTGAGAAAGAGTTCGTAATGATGTGAGATGCAATTCGAAGGTAGCGCTGAATGTGGTAGTAGATTCATCGTGGCTGGAAAAAAAGCAGTTATAGCGTATGCTTCCAATTACACCAGGAAGGCATGCGGAAAAAGGAGGAAGAAAATACCTTATACGTCTGCTTATTCTCCGGTCTTAAATCCCATCCAGAATTTCTGAGATACTTTCAGTAGAAGAAAACTCTTCCTCCCCGAAAAGGAATTTAAAACTGCCTTGAAAAACGAATACCGATATTCCTCAAAATCTTCTCTAGAGATTAACAGGCATCATGGCAATCATGGCAGATGTGAAATATGCGTTAGTGTTCAAGGAGATCATCCTACCGTTCTACTGAAGAACTCGCACATATCATAGTTCCGGGCCGCGTGAAGGAGTATTTTCTATGAAGGTTTGAAATTGCTCTAATTTTTCTCTTTCTCTTAGTTTACTTTTTCATATAATGAAATCTGTACCATTTTGTATTACATAGAAGGCACAATATATGTACTAAATGTATGCTCAATTTCATTTCTTCAGTCAATTCATGTCATTAATGATTCCAACAAAATGCTCCTGTTCTTTTACAAATGGCAAGATTAAATATATTAAAATGGCCATCTTCTAATCCATAGAAGCAAAATCCTGCTGCTATGGACTATAAGATGGCTATTTTAATTAACTGAATTAATTTATTAATAAATTTTAATAATTGTATAAATTGCACTCACCAGCGGCCCGATGAATTACACCACAAAGCATTGGCGGTTCGAACTGGAATTGGGATCAAATCACGGCGCAAAGATTAGCTGCATATTATTTTCGGTTTATTTTTCAGGTTGATAGGCGCTGTGTTCTATTTTTAATCAATTAATCTAATCTAACTTTCTCGTATAAAACACTACTTTAATTTGCATGAAAGTTGAGTGCTTTTTCAATCTTACAGAATTCTCTCTCAATACTGTTTTCGTCACCATTTCAGTTAAGCGAAGTTTTATTGTATAAATCAAAAAGCAATGTAAGTAAAATCAAATAATATTGTAAGCATAAAACAGCAAGTACATTAGAAATATAAATTGTCCACGTATTCAACTCTAGTACAGAATTTTCAAAGTCTAAACACCGAATTTTACCTAGAAGAGAGACAATAATTTTATAACTGAAGGACTCGGCTGTCTTGGCTACAAACTGAAACAGAAAGCAGGATAGCGGCAAGATCACTTCTAGAATTTTTATTGCAGGAATATTCGCTATTATGTGAGAAAACCAAAAGCTTTCTCAGGGGAAAAAGGTTAAAAACAAATCTTTTGAATTATTTTAAAGCTACTGTTTTCTGCTGCAAATAAACTAAAATCTAAATGCGATAATCAGATTGCAGCTTTTTAAATTTTTATGGTTCTTATATTTTTAATTTTTTAACAATTTTAAAAATTCTTGAAATTTGTAAAATCCTTTTCTCGAGGCTTTAGACTGTAATCTAAAATTCTCAGATTGTATTTGATTTTGTTCTTTTCCTATTCTTTCCTACTTAAGAAATTTTTCATTTGTATCTTTGAGTAGCTACTTCTATGTATCTCTTATATTAAAGGCGACTCAGTGTGTAAAGAATACTTACACCGAATGGTGAAAGAACGCTCTGCTTTTTCTTTGGAAATGCAGTGTACCATTACAACTTCCA